TTTGCTCATTTTCCAAAGTGTTACATAAAAAAAACTGCTAAACAAAAGCCATTCGCCAGGAAGCAATAGCTTTTAAACGAACGATTTAGGAATTATTAAAAATACCCAAATGTACAGTAATTACAACATTATTATTAAAATAAGAATATCAAGAATAACATCAGTATCACAGAAACTAACCAATTATGCTTTCCTTATTCAAATTTTAGAATGGCTTCTAGAATAAAAATGTTACTGACTGGTCGTATTAGGCCGACTAGCACCGGTAGCAATTTTCTTTTTTCTCTTACTTTTATTAACTATAGACAAGGGCACGAGTTTTTGAATATTAAATTATATCACATTTTGATCCCGTTATTTGTATATGTTTTAAATATTATAGTTTTTCACACCTAGTACACAGGTGAGTGTTCCGACGCTAATCAACACATTTCCAATGCAGATTTATGTAGGCATATACTTGTGAAATAGACGGTCGACGGTGTGGGACGCTAAGGTCGGCTAAAGTGCCAAACAATAGGGTCTACATTATTACTAAACGGAAAATGGATTTAAAAAAAAAATAAGGAATAAACCTGTAAAAAAAATTATTTGGTAGCAACTAACAAACATCCACGTTATTAAAAAAAATCTACTATTACGGCACCAACGATATCAGCTTAACCTTTAAAAGGAGGTTACCATTATTCGGCAGTAGGTGGCTTGTTAAATCAAAAATAAACAGATGATAGGAAAAGAAATTTTTAGATACTATTAAGTAAATTAGGTTCAAAAAAAGAATTGTCCCAGAAAAAAAAATTGTTCAAGAAATATGTAGGCGGAGTAATTAATGCGATGGCACGGATCTTTGGTATCACACGGCGATTAGAGGCTGCACTATTGTTTGTACTTCAGAGTGTAGACCAAGGCTCAATCTTTAGTTAAACGGAAAATATTCTTTGATAAATCTCTGCTAAAACGGAATTTGACATTTTTGTTTGTATGTGAAGTATTTGTAATAAAAACGAACCAATGCTTATTCAAATAATCATACCACAACTAAACGATTCTTGGCTTGATACTACTTACTTATAAATAATTATGAACAAAGGTATATTTTGTATAATAACACAAGTATACATATACAACAGAATCAAAATATTAGAGGTGCAGATGTCCAAGTTTCTCCAACCCTCATATCCATAACTGCCAATAGGAGTGACAGGTCGTTTGGCACGGTGGTTGGCTAACTGGCTACCACACAATGTATCGCGGCTTCGATTTCCGCATGGAACAACTCTTTATGCGATCCAAAAATTGTTGTTTTACAGGTGTCCTTAGGCAGCGCCGATTACTTACTATTCGAATTCGTGTTTACCGCCCTATAAAAACATTGTTTTTAATACAAGTACAACAATAACAGTCAACAAACTAACATAGTCTGATACTTTAACAATAAAATAAACAAACTTTTCCATTGTCCAAGCATTTTTATAGAAAATATCTTTTGGAAATGAAAATGATAGAATCAAATATGAATTTACCGGAGCGATACATTGTAGTGATCCTCTTGTATGAACTTTAAGCCCGGGTGATAGCTATATGACAAGTTACTCTATCTCTATTATGACGGGGATCATAATTGCTTGTTCGTTTATCTATATTTGACAACCTCAGATACGTTTTTCAATTAAAAAAGTATTTTAGTTAAGAAGGTTTTTTAATTGTTTATGTGATAGGTCAGCCACCGAGTAGACTGTTTACCTGATGGTAAGCAATCATGGCCGCCCATGGACAACAAAAGAATTACGAGTGCGTTTCTGACCTTTTAGGGATTAAGAATTTGGAGATTTAGGGATTGCGGAGGACCGGAGGCCCGATCCTTTCCGGATTGGGCCTCCGGTTACCTAACTCACACGGCGTGAGACACTCCGGTCGAGACGACCCATTCGTGCCGAAGCATGGCTCTCCAACACTATTATACATAGGTACCTATAAGCGTATTTGCATTTTGCTGAGGACTTTTTTTGAAAGTGCCTTCTGAATTTTCCTACAAATATAATGAACCTTTTCAGCAACATTCTGTCATTATCTACGTCTGTTTATCCAAATCTTAATTGCGAGGCATGGATTATAATAGATTTTGTCATCCAAATGAATCATCATCCGAATTATGTAGGTACTAACTACTCCGATATTAATACACTAAACACTTGACTGGCATAAAAAAAATAACAAATAACTGCAACACTTACCTACTAAGTACAATATTGTGTGTGTGATTTTTTTAAAACGATTCACTCTTCAAATACTCGCTCACCAAAAAGGTTGCAATTAAAATGGAGTTTGTCTATGTCACCTCCCCTATTTTATACCTACACAAGAAACAATATACGGACGTAGGTACATAACATGCAAATTATGGAAATCCCCATCGAATTAAGGGAATCCCTTTTTCATGACATATTACAATTTTCTATTTAAATGGGTAATTTTGGTGCAAATAAATTAATCATAAATTGCTTTTTAAAACGGAAAATAAGTTATGTTACCCTTATTTATTTTTATGCTAATTGTATTGAAGACATAGAGAACTAAACCAATTGAAGTCAATAACAATAGTTTCAATGTAATACTGAGTATTTTCCCTAATTAAGAAACAGGACTATTTGTTGTCATATACTTAAACGTTGCGATAAAAAACATGTTTCACTAGTTCTGTGTTATGTATTTTAGACAAAACTGAATTTTCATTATTTTCAGAACAGGCTTTTTCAGTAAGGTCTCTTTATAATCTGTAGAACTTATATTTTAGTCCTATTACTATGACTTACCTTTTGTTCTATTAAAGTTTAAGAAAGCTGGCAGTAACAACACGCTATGTTAAATTAACCTTTTCTAATATTTCTTATAAGTAAGTGTAGTAAGTTAAAATTTTAAAACAAGGAGTTAATAAATTTTGAAACAAGGAGGCGTTCGTACGAAAACACGCAATGCCAGCTTTTAAAAGTCTTATAGAATTATAGGGTATACATATACTTTAGATACAAGTAAGTCTCTATTTTTTTGTACTTAAAAATAATAGTATCCTTTAATATAATATAGAAAAAAAAAAGAATTAATACTTTGAGAATTTGTCGCCATCGAGTAAGAATTAATAAATGAAAATATTATTAATTTGACCATTAGAGGTATTATAATCAATATTTTGGTTCTAAGTTATTTTTTAGTATTGATAATACGTTCGTAAAAATAGATAAAAAATAACTGTAGTAATTCCTCTGCATACCTGTTGCCTGCACGTAATAATTACTATAACGATTAATTATTAAAGATATCGTTATAAAAAATATATACCTAGGGTATTTATTTTAACAATAAGTAGATCTATAAAAATATAATTTTGCAATAGTATTTATTTCCAAGTTTGTATTTTATTTTAATAACGCGTGCTACATTGTGCCTCGATTTCAAACAAAAAAGGAAATCGCGAAAATAATGTATGAGTTTTACGTAAAATTTATGCCACAGCAACTTTTTATTAAATTATTGTACCACAACTATTTAAAAACAAAACACAACAACAATAAAAATAGAATCATACTCACAGAATATAAAAGACGCGCGTAATTTGAATAAAGAACTTCAAACAACAAACTGCAACTTCACTTAGAACGAGTATTTTTGAAACGTTCGGAAGGCGGTTTGGTCGGCAACCGGAGGCAGTAGCGGTGCGCGAAAGCTCTTGTGATTATATAGGACGATAAGCGCGCCGCCCAAGCCTTTATAAGGCCAACATGTGCACCTATACAAGGCTGTTTGTTATTAAAAATATTACGCACGCATGTTGAAAGGAATTTGGTAAGGGGGCCAAAATAAAATGAAGAATATTATATTTTATACACATAAAAGTTTAAAAAAAATTACCTACACACAAAAATAAAACCTTTTTGCGAAATATTTGTCGAATGAAATCTCCTCATCTAAATTTAGCCAGGTAGGTACAATTAATTGAGTACTTGAAAACTAGTCAAATCGGACACTTTTTCAAATTGTCCAAATCGGCTTTTTTTTGTACGCTGTGTGCGTGTGTTCTGGCGTCATACATATATATCTTTGGAAAAGTAGCTAAGTAAATACGAAGTGTCCAAATCAATAAATAAAAATAAAGAAGAATTTTAAGTTAAAGATAACAAATGTGTACCTATTACCTATTACAAAGTGACTTCAAAATAAATTTCATTACAACGAAATAAATAAGGCATTTTTTTATCCACAGCTTTTTTTAAATAAAATATTAGTAAGTAAAATAAAAAAATAAAAACTGGTTTACGAGAATTTCTGAAAAACATTTAGCATATCTCTTTCAGGATTGTTCAATAGTACCAACCTACGTATGTTGTAGGGGCAACTAACTTCAACCCTACGACAAATTTTAATGTGGCTGACCATTATAAAACCATTTATTATGTCCATAAAGAAAGTGATATCAATGAAATCCCGTGGGATACTGCATTCATGTTGACAAAGAAATACATGTTGTGTGTATTTGATGTCCAAACTGCTCTACTTTGTAGATCATTATGTATTTTATATATTATTTATATATATCCAAACTTTAATCTTCCCACTTCTCATGCTCATGGGTGTGGGTTCGAAACCTGGTAAGTACCAATGTGACTTTTTCCGAGTTATATGTACTTTCTATGATTATTTGGACACCACTGACATATGGTGAAGGTAAACATCGTGAGGAAACCTGGACTTATAATTTCTTATTATAAGTTTGAAATCGCCAACCCGCATTGAGCAAGCGTGGTGATCAATGCTCTAAATGTACTCCGTATGAGAAGAGGCCTTTGCTCAGCAGTGGGCACTTATAGGCTGATGATTTTAGTATTTACTTATATTGCAGGTACGCAAAATAACTGAATTACTATTTGAACCATTATATTCCTATAACTGCATACATGAAAGTTTACTCCAACACCTTATTACAATTTATAGCTACTGCGAACAACATGGTAAGTTGGTATTTTATGTTTTAAAGCAGAAACAAATTAATCATAATAAAATTATTACAAACGTGGGATGCCTGGCCTCTAAAGTAAGATTATCTTTGGAACAAAATAAGTGCGGCTTGCATATGTTTTAATGTTATACGGTAATTACTTTCATCGCTTTAGAAAAACCTCTGTACCTATAATTTATTATTAAGAAGAGATGATTATTTGGCTTAGGTTGACTGCACGGTTGGTGCGGGGGCCGGGCAACTGGCTGCCATGCAACGTGTCACGGGTTCGATTCCCGCACGGAACAACTCTTTGTGTGATCCACAAATTGTTGTTCCGGGTCTGGGTGTCATGTGTATGTGAAATTGTATGTTTGTAACCGCACCCACGACACAGGAGAAAGTCCTAATGTGGGGCAACGTTTTTTAAAAACAAATAAAACAAAAACAAGTTAGGTACTAATGAAAAGAGTTTCAAATGTTTTCTCGTAAATGAGTGGTCGTGCTCAATCGAAAATAAAAAAATCTTTAAGAATGTACCTATCCTACTTATATAAATATTATTTAAATTTTATTTTTACTCATGATTGAAAACGACAATAAATATAACAACAAGAAAATTTAATTAAAGTTAAGAGATATGTATAGAAAATGAATTATTTGTGAGAATTGAGGACGTACTCGGAATATTCGGTTTGTTCAGGGATAGAGTTCATTTACATAGGTATAATGAAAACATGTAACATGCTAATATATTTTATAATACTACTCACCTGTTAGGTAAATATTAAGCCGCTATATTGGACCAATCAAATAATTCTAGGAGGTAATAGTTATAAAATAATGCCGTTATCAAAGCCGGGGATTATGATTATAGGTATTGATATGTAGTTTCAAATATAGCCTTTCATGAACTCCATGAGTAGCCCGCAGTCTATTGATATTCACAGCTAAAAACCCATAAAGTGCCGCCATCAAATAACCGATAAGAGTAACCATAATATCGAGTTTATCGTGAGAAATACATAATCTTCAATCGCAAACTATTGTATGTTCACGAGTATTGTTGTAAAAAATATGGCAGGGTTATTGATGTAATGAGGATTCGCCCTCGTGTAGGATCTGATAAACAAGTGAAAAACAAGTTGCGGAGGTTGATTTCGTAAATCATTTCATTCAGTGATGTCACTGAAACACATGGTAAATAGCAAGCAAATGTTCTATAAAACCTTTGTGCAAAATTTGTGATAACTTCTTTATTGGTGATGTTTAATACGCACCCTTGTAAAGTATCAGCCGGGGTTACGGGGTAAGCGCAATGAGGCACCGCGACCTCGGCCCAGAGCAGGAGAAGGAACAGGGTTTTTAGTCAGTAAGAGTCTGACACTCCCTCCCGCCCTACCCTGGACGGGAGAAGTCATTTGATGATTTTCCCCTCACAAAAAAACCCTTGTAAAGTTTTTAGAGAAAAAACTAACTTTATTTTTTTTATGAGTAATAATCATTCAATGATTTTTCCCGCCCTGGATGGGCCTAGGAGAGTCTCAGAATTTTACTGGTCAGTAAATAATTCCCCGTTTTTACTCCTGTTCCTGGCAGATGTTGTGGTATATTGTTGTGTTTACAGCTAGCAACTTCAGCTAGATTAACAAAAATATTAATTTCTTTTATTTTTTCAAAAAAAAAATTGTCGGCCAATCGGTTTGTAGACTAGACAACTCAATAAATATTTAAGGGATAGCAAACTAAAACAAAAAAAATGTTTCTTGGAACAACTGTGACAGGGAAGAACATTTGATCACTTTTAGTTTTTCTTCTAAGGATTAAAAGTTTCGAGACTACAAAGCGGAAATCTTGGTACCGTTTTCGTTGGTAACTTTCTTAATAACAGTGACGTCAATCGACAACCCGTAACAGCCCACTGCTGGCTTCTGTATATAAAAGGTTATAAGGAGGTTTGAATTTTGACTGCATGATGATTGGATTTGATGGCCGGGCAAGTGGCTACGGCGCAACGTGTCGCGAGTACGATTTCCACGCGGAACAACTCTTTGTGTGATCCACAAATTGTTATTCCGTGTCTGGGTGTGATTTGTATGTGATATTGTATGTTTGTAAACGCACCCACGACACAGGAGTTGGTAAATATTGGTGTTAAGTAAAGGCAACGTTTAAAAAAATCCACTCTCTTTGGTTGGTTCTTGAGACATCGATGCCAAATTTACGGAAGTATTTTCAACAAACATAAGCTTCTTTAAATATCTGTTTATAAAAGAACAAAAAAGTATTATGTAAGTATGTGAATCAATCCAGGCGTCTTTGATTAATTGGTGAACATATTATACCTTCACATAAAATATATATTCCGAAGAATTGAATTTCGAACGCCATTTTTTGAAGTTGGTTATTAAACCATTTCAAAACATCATAACATTTTAGTGAGACAATTCAATTTATTTCATGTACCTTAACAAAAGGAAGGGCTGAAGAGGTCACAACGAGCGAGGGCAAACTCTCGTAAATGCAACATGGGCTTCCCATTGCTCTAATGTGCGGGCCATGTCGACCAGCGGGAGGCCTATAGCTGATCATTTCGGTCACTTAACGGCTACCAGTCTGCGAGAGTGATTACCCACGTACGTAGTCAATCGACTGTTTATTTACTATTGGAATGGGATCTTGTGACAACTATTATAAGTATAATAAGATAGCTAATATAATAGATATTTTAATATAAGTTGGTACCTACACTAAAATAGTTAAATTCGTTTAGATATTTATGTCTCTACGTAAGTATTTATTAACTTTTGCAGCTGAACATTTGAAAATTGTAAAATTGTAGGTACCCCAGGATATCAGGATGATTTAGGTATAAGTGAGAATGATTAATCCTATTAATGATTAAAAGGTAACCATAGTGATATACTTAGGTATTATTATTTTTTTTTTTTTTTTACCAATCACGGGACCACAGGGTCCCGGTCATTTGGAAGGCGTACGAGGGGCCGGAGCCAACTGCGCAGAGGCCCTTTAGACAAATTTAATGTAAATGAAATGGGACACAAACCGGCGACTATCCCTGTATGCACTATGGGAATGCACCCAAGGACAGTCCCCGGTTAGTGTAGGACTATTGCGGATAATGGAAACAAAATACAAGGCTATGGGTGTGGGTTGCTATGGGCTAGTAGGATGGGAACTATGGAAGGACTATGGCACCTGCCGAAACAATGTAATTTATACACGTAAAAATGGCAGGCGGAGACTCGCCAACTCACCGACCGGGCCCCCGGGAATGGTTGCTAGTAATAGCAACAGAGGGACAACGGAAATGTGAGTGGCTGAAGGGTGAAGAAACTGCCACCAGCTTTCTACTCAGATCATCTGCATCTGCCTAAGCATCCTGCATCACTGGCCCACTCGCCGCTTACGAACAGCTTCCACCCTCCGAGCAGGATCACTACTCTCGCGACTCCACTCTGGACGGCCAATGAAGGCAAGCCAGAGGTGGGAGACCTGTTCCTCGTCATCGTTCACTTCGGCCAGCCAATGAAGGCAAGCCGGAGATAAGGAACGGTGACTCCTCCCTGGAGCAATCGGGATGATGGTAGCCCGCGGGATCGCTAATTCCCGTCACCTCGCCTCAAGGTGCCCTGCGGGCGTATTATTATTATTATTTATTGATTAGAGGTTCATGGAATGCACCTACTAGGTAGATTTCTTTTTTTTGAAGCGGGAAAATCATCAAATAGTTTATTTCTCCCTGTGTGTTAGTAAATAGTTAGTGCTGCGAATAATTATAGTCTTGGTGCACTAGATACCTTACAAGTGATTTTGTAAATAATTTGATAAGTGATTTATTTCATCAGGTTACTGAAGAGGCGAATAGTTATTCCTTTGCCTCTTCCTCAATCCTCAAATCCCAAAAAACCCAAAGTGGTGGCAAAGCAGTAGCTACTTCCCTGCCGTTGTGGGTGCCCATGGGCAACGCCGATTGCTTAACAACGGTGATCTGTATAAACGATTGTCGCCCAATACTATAAAAAAAATATTTTTTTGCGTGTAGATTTTTTTCTATATTTGTGTAATTCGTTAGTCTGTTGTGTCTCTATCTAATACGTGTGTTTGTGGTGTCTGCGCAGCACATATTGTTATGTAGTGTTCGTGTGATGTGTGTGTGTGTGTGTGTGTGTGTGCATGTGTCTACTATATACTTAGTTATTGAGTAAAATATTAAAAGCAGTTAATTTTTTTTTAATAGAAACCAAAGATGTTTCTTCAAAGTATAAAAGTAAACATAACGACATTTAAAGTGTGGGAAAGCCATGCTTCGGCACGAATGGGTCGGCTTGACCGAAGTGATACCACGGCCTCACAGAAAACCGACGAGAAACAACCACAGCGTTGTGTTTCGCCATGTAAGTGAGGTTACCGGAGGCCTAATTCTTCCCTTCCCCCAATTCCTAAATCTCCAAATCCCTGATCCCCAAAAGGTTGGCAACGCACTCGTATAGGTACCTCCTCTATTATTGCGGGTGTCCATAGGAGGCGCTGATTGCTTACCATCAGGTAGGTACCTAATCCGTCGGCTCGGCTGCCGACCTATCACATAAAAAAAAACATGCACACAGGTGTGTTTTTTCGGCCACTTCAATTCATTCCAACCCAATGCAATCATAATTATCCAGACTTCGTAGCCCTGACTTAACGAGTGTCAGGTTTACGGAATTTCGTTACTCATTTCTCACGGAGCTGGTCTTGTTCCGTCATATGATAATATCATTGTGTGTAAAAATGATTGTAAACGCAGCCAGGGTCAAAGTAAACATGTACACGCATAATAAACGGTACACGACTAGCAACTAACGTTGTTAAAATCAATAGAACCCATATTGTCTTGTGAGAGCGAAGGAACATATGAAATCAATAAAATTGCAGTAGGTATTTATAAATTAAAAATAATTATATTGTTGTAAATCAAGTTGAAAACGTTCGTACAAAATAGTCATCGTAAGATAGTACGGTTATTACGTAGGTATTACAGCTCTCAACTCAAAGCTAGTTTTGCATATTCAGAGAGTTTATATTAGAAAAATGCACAACTAGGCATAAGAATATTCGTGCAACGAAGTTGTGGAAAAATTCAACCTTCATCCTTCACGAAGTTTAATCTGTGGTATATTTAATTTCGCACTTCAGTCTCATCATAGAACACCCGCACACCTTGCAAGACTCAAACTTGATGCAAATGACAAGTGCTTGAATTGTAACGTCTTATGTGACATTAGTCACATAGTGTTGGTATGCAGTGACTACAACATGCAAAGGTTGATTTTAGCCAGTGAACTAAGTGAAATTGTAGATAATGTTTCCTCCCGCCGCCTAGAAGATCTACTACGTGATCCAAAGTGTTTAGTGCCGTTATACAATTTCATTAAAAATACTCTGGAAAGTATATAATAACATAAAACCGAGTAAATTAAAAGACTTGGCTTAAAGGACTCGTAACCAGGCCATAAACTCCAAAAAAAAAAAAAGCACTTCAGTCTTTTTACGTTTTCTATGGTCGTTTCCTTAAATTACTCGTTCAACGAATCATTGCGTTCATTCATCATTCATCATTCCTTCATTCTTCCATTCAGCTCTCAACGACGCTCGATGAAGTGAATTGTTTGGTGGTAAAAATAAATGATTTAAAATATCACATAAACAGAAGAAAACAGTAAAATGTATGTAACTTTTTCTATTCAATTAAATGTTGATAGTTAAGTTACGACCTATTCTTACTACGGATCTGTATTTCATTACAGGGCGCGAACTAAGTCGCCTTCGGCGGCCTCCGATAAGGATAAAAAGAAACCAAGGGAGAATAAAAAGAAGAAAGGCGATTCAGGATCTAGCAGCAGTGACAGTAGTGGCAGGTAAATTGTTATACCACAAGAACAACAAATTGGTGTAGTTAGTACTAATGACATGACAAGTTAGGTTATGTTTCGTAGCCGTGTTATTTTGTTTGTGATAATTTTGTTGTCCAAAAATCTGTAAATTAAGTATGATTTACAGATTTAATTAAAATGTAACCTAAGACAAGTGATACCAAGGTAATTAATTTCTGAATTTTTGTTATAGCTCATCAGAGAGCAGTTCATCTCGTTCGTCATCTAGGTCTTCATCGAGCAGTTCTGGCAGTTCATCTCGTTCCTCTTCGTCGTCCAGCTCGTCGAGCAGCAGCAGCAGCAACAATGACCGTTCTAGACCAAAGAAGAAGTAAGAATTACATGTTACATGAACAAATTGAACTAAATTTATATTGTTTCATGATACTCCAAACTTCAGGATTTTATCTTTAATTCTAGAATCTCCCCTAACAAAAGTCCCATCAAGGATCGCCGTGAACCTGATAGAGATAAAGTAAGGGACAGATCTCCTCTTGGTGATAAAAAGAAGCAAGCAATTCCATCATCTAATGATAAGAGTAAAAGCAAGGAGAAACATGATAGGTAAGTGTTTATTACTAAAATTACAAATAATTAGGAATTTATTTTAACACATCCAGTGCCCCCGACGCGTATGTGCGTTTCCTTACGCTACTCTGTGTGCCCTCGACGCACCTGTGTGTTCTATACATTAATGTATTGAACGCAACGAGGGCACTGAATGTGTTAAGTAACTAGTTTATTGGTGTAGTATCCTGATGTTATGATTGCAGTTTTAATGTAAATGACTATTTTCTTATCAGATCTCCAGGTCGCAAGAAGCGAGAACGCTCTCCACCACCAAGGCCCACACGTATTCATATTGGTAGATTGACTCTGAATGTGACTAGGGATCATGTTCATGAGATATTCTCAACATATGGTACTGTGAAAGCAGTGGAATTCCCCATGGATCGGCTACATCCCCACAATGGACGTGGATATGCATATGTGGAATTCAGCAATGCTGATGAAGCAGAAAATGCCATGAAGCATATGGATGGAGGTAAATTTATGTGACTTCAATCAAATGTTGAATGTTAATATTTTCAGGACATAAGGTAGTTATTTATAACAAATTTGTATCATAATGTGTGTATATGTAATGTGTGTGTGCATAAGTACCAAGAAACGTTCCAGGATTGGAAGTATGGTATAAAATAGAATAAAACAACATAGATAAGCTAACAAAATCGTTTATTATACTATAATTATGATTTTTTTAAATTAACACATATTTTTGAGTTTGCCTTTCAATGCTAATACAATTAAAATAAATAATCTTTTTTTTATATTCCCTAATTTCAAGGTATTGGACATCTAATATGCCTATATAATAAATGTGGAAAATAATTGTTCTACATCATTGTAGATGTCAATGGGGCAAATTTCATATAAGTTACTATTACACTATTTGCTACTTTTTTTTTCAATACTTTCACAGTATTCTCTAATTGTTCGTATTGATTTGATTGTAGCTCTAATTGCTCTCCTTAATGGTAGCTCTCACATAAATATGAAGTTCAGGTAATTTGGAGGCTTTTCCATAGCATCCTCTATGTTTGATGTCAACAACTTCAAATCAATCTACCAACTAAAACTCTGCTTATAAGTAACTTTTATATTACAGGACAAATCGACGGTCAAGAGATTACGGCGGCGCCAGTGCTGATCCCGTCGCGGCCTCGTCGACCATCGCCTCGTCCACCACCACCACGACACGCGCCACCACGTCGACACTCTCCTCCTCGGTCAGTATTATTACGTTGCGACATAATAATGATTCTGAATTAATGTTCAGTCTAAGTTTCTTCTAGGATTGCACTAACCAAGGTTAGGGTATTTACAATATAATTTGTTTATAATTTGCAGGTACCGGCGTCGTAGCCCGCTTCCCCGGCGTCGGTCCCCGCCCCGGCGGCGCCGATCGCGCTCCCGCTCGCCCCGCGCGGCGCCTCGCCGCCGACGCTCCAGGTCCTCCTCCTCCTCCTCCCGATAACTCCCTCACACAGACACACAGATAACACAACCTCGCCGCTTTGCATGCAAAACACCAACACAACAAATCATTTGACCCGACTTATTATTTGGGAGCCTCTCATAAAAATTTGGTACACATGTTCCAGATGACACAAGAGGTAAGTATGACTCTGCTTCCCATCTATATGGTCGTTGTATTGTAGACTTGTTATGTAATGCCGATGTTTAGCGCAGGTGAGTATTTATATTTAAGACTGCAATATTATGATTTTTAACGAGATTTTTCTTGTTATAAAAGCTTGCAAAATGGAAACAACTGAGTGAGTGCCCAATCCAGATGAACTGTATCCAAAAACTAAATCAGTGTGGAGTGTAATGTAATAATTAGAGATGCACCGAATATTCGGTTTCTATCCGGTATCCGGCTTATCCGGCCCTTTTTTACTATCCGGCCGGATACCGGATGGTAATGTACTATCAGGCCGGATACCGGATAGTAAACTTGATAGATTTTATAAATAGAATCTAAATAAAGACACAGTTGTAATTGAAGCTTTCTATTATTTTAAACAGCTTTAACTTTTTATAATAAACCAATTATTTAAAGTAACTTGGTGATAATACTGATAGTTAAAAAATGTACTTATTTGTAACTAGTAAGTAATAATAATATTAATTAATTTAATATTGGAAATCCACCAAAGGTAAATTATGATGTATAAAAACAAGATTTTCAGCATTTTTAGGAAGCAAACGATTCCTCTTGTTTTCATATACAAGCCCAGCCTCTGAAAACAGTCTCTCGCTGTACACACTGCTACATGGGGAAGAGAGATATATTTGGGCAAATTTAACCAAAATCGGGAATTGTTTGGCGTTTGCTGCCCACCATGCGTAAGGGTCACTTTTTCGATCAAGAGGAACCATTTTTAAGTAAAAGTCAAGCTCATTGGCTATAGCAGTATTATCAGAGTCTTCAGTTTGATTGTTATCTTTGACAACTTCATTAAAACAGTCCCAAAATGAATCATGAACACTCATGGAACTGCCTGCTCTTTTCTTCAATGGAGGTGAATCGCCTCCACTGCTGGATGCATCCTCTTCACCGCAACTCAGTTTTAGACCCTCCAATAAGAGGCTTTGGCGAGCCTTTTCTGCTTGTATTACCCCAAAAAAATTAGTCTTGAACCTGGGATCCAATAACGTAGCCAGGAAATACTTTAAATTTTCATCAAGATGTTCGAAGCGTTGTTGCAATTGAGTTTTTAGGGACGTTAGAAATTGCAATAAGTTAGGGACTTTGCGTGAAGTTTCTTCCTTTTGAATGTACCTCATCAAAACTGCTACATGTGGTATAACTTCTGAAATGCACGACAGACCTGAGCTCGTGATCTTCGTTATTTCCTCGAACGGTTTGAGGAGAATGATGCATTGCTCCATTAAATTCCATTGCTGAGGAGTCAAGTTGCCGAGTTTATTGTGGTCGGCAATATACAGAGAAACAGCTCGTCTCTGTTCTAGCAGCCGCTCTTGTAAATAGTACGTCGAGTTCCAACGTGTACTGATATCTTGTACCAACCGATGTTCCGGTAACTTTAACTCTTTTTGAATTGCCTTCAGTTTCTCTTGTGCTAATGCTGAATGATTCAAATGAGTTACGATGCGTCTTGCGGCATTCAGCATCTCTACTAAATCAGGTTGAGTTTTAAGTGATTCAGTAATGACCCGCTGGAGAGAGTGAATAAAACACCTAGCTGAATCGTATTCAGCCACTTGAACTCCTTTTACCATATTAGCCCCACTATCGTGTACAATAATATGTATTTTATTGAACGGAATATTCCACCGTGCAGCAATAATGTTAAGCTCGTTTGCTATGTTCTCTCCGGTGTGAGACCCTGAAAAGGGCTTCATTGCCAAAACGCCATGTTCCAGTTTGAAATCTGGGGATATCCAATGGGCGGTGAAGCTCAGAAAACTTTCATTATTGTGGTCACAAGTCCATATATCTGACGTAATGGAAACAGCTGCAGCGTTTAAAATTTTTTCCATAATTTTCTTGATAATTCGATCGTATATGTCCGGTATTATTTTTTCAGTCATATAAGTGCGACTGGGCAACTTGTACCTCGGTACCGCTTTTTGCATGAGCCTATTAAATCCAACTCGGTCAACAATGGATAGTGGTTCGTTATCCAACGCGATCATTTCGCCAATCAAATAGTGAAATTCCTGTGATTTCGAATCATTTATCCCCCAATATTGTTTTCGCTCAACAGTTTCAGCTAAAGTCAATTGCTTTTGCAAGGACGGTTGAGAAGCCGTGGTACAAGTACTTGCAGTTGAGCTCGTAGAAATAGCAGGTACAACACATGAGGACGAACCACCATAAATTTCACTAAACTTATCAGGATGCTTGGCTTTCAAGTGGTTTTTCATGCACGAGGTTCCAGCTTTTTTTCCCTCTCCGCCACGTGAAACTTTTAGTTTGCAGATTAAACAAATAGCGTATTTAGCTTCTTCTTTGTCTATCTCAAAATAATTCCAAAGCGGAGATCTTGTTGCCATTTTTTATAAACACACTAATGACACAGTAGGTAAATGTTAATTAATACAAAACCACTAAGTATCACACGATAACACCACAAACTTATTTTATTATCTAAAAATACGCGAGCGTACAAACGAAATTGTTTCGTGCTGACTGACACGATAAAAGTGTCTCTACCAAGAACTGTGACCGCGCGAACGTTCACTACGAAACAAGTCAAAACCTGCACGGCGCGGGCGGCGTGCCGGTGCGCGACACGCACCTACGAAACTCAAAATGCCGCCGGCCGAATATTCGGCGGCCGGATACCGAACATTCGGCTGGTGGTCAGGCCGAACATCCGGTATCCGGTATCTGGCCAAACAACTATTCGTTGCATCTCTAGTAATAATATTGTATTTGTAAATTCCAAAACACAGAAAAGCTGACTCTTCTTTGCTAATAAATTGTATTAGTAATCAGACTTTTAATTTTTATTCCCAGATCCAAAGATCCTGTTTCCAATGTCAAATAGAAAACTTATTCATTTCTATTAATAATAATTGTTGCTTTCACCATTAGAATAAATGATTATAACTTCTAAGATTTATAATGCATTTTATTTTATTATACTAGCTAAGTAGACCCCAGCTAGGTAATCCCCATCGCCAGTAGCCAGACAACAAATAATGCAAAAGTAACTCTGTCTGTCTGTCTTCACGCCTAAACTACGGAACCGATTTCTGTGAAATTTGGTACAGACATAAAAGGACACAGGTGGGTTTTTATACCAAAAATCTGCAGGATGTCACTATTCCACGCGAACGGAGTCGTGGGCAAAAGCGAGTAGGTATATATATACCTGGGGGAGTTGAACTAACCTAAACCGAGAACACTGTTACCTGATGGTAAGCTATCGACGCCGCCCATGGACATCCGCAACACCAGAAGTATTACGAGTGCGTTGACGTTCTTTTAGGGTTAGGGTTTCGAAGATTTAGGGACTGGGAGAGAGGAAGGACTGGGCCCCCAGTGAAGTGACTTCACTCATACGGCAACAGAACACTGATTGTTATACGCCACTTTATGTGCGCATGGTATCATCACTCCGGTCAAGCTGGCCCATTCATGCCGAAGCATGTCTCTCCCACACTATGTACCTATGATTATTTGATTTATAACGTATTGGGCAGTGTATTTCATTAAGGTTTTTATTGATCTAATGTCAATAAAATCAAATCATACTTATTAAAATAAATATAAAAGTTAATTAACAATCAGGTATCAATTTTGATTACTTATTATTTTACAATATGTTTGGTAATCTGAAACTAATATTTTTCCTTTGTATAAGTAGTTTTCTTCTAATAGCCTGAGTTCGCGTACAGTTCTGAAACAAAAGCAGAAAATAACTGAGACATGCATATTTTAAACTAGATAAAAATCTACAAAAAAGTGTTAAAGGCAAACAAAAGTGTCAACTCTCAGCTAAAATTATTGAGAGGGCCAAATATCGAATCCTGATTAATTTTTAGCTTTAGGAAGATTCTAGACTTACGGGTATTGTATTTTCATATTTTTCGGGCCTCTTACTGGATTCCAAGCTGAGACAGGAGCTTTGTTGGCGAGCATCAAACTGGCGACTGCATTATATAAACCATACTCTTGACACATTTTTTCCTGGAAAATTAAAAACATGTGAAGACAGACTACTGGTTTGGATTGGAAAGATATTTTAGTGCCCTGTTAATGGACTTATCGAGAAAGACCATAAAACATCAGCTTGATAAAAACTAAACAAAAAGTCAAGCTGATAGTGGTACTTAATGTATATTACTTGTATTAATAACTTTTATAATGTATATTACTTCTTTTTTAATGTATATTTAATAATGTATATTACTTGTATTATTAACTTTTTTAATAACTCAAAACACTACTCACTCTCCATTCAGCCAGCATTAAGTCTGAATCACTAAGAGCTGATGCAGCTTTATCTACATGATCAATATTGGAAAAGTGTGGCAGATAATTTTCTTCCAAAAAATTGACGAATGACACAGGCTGGCTAATGAATTGTTCTACTATGTCTTCAGGATTGTGTGTAAACTTTTTATTCCCATTTTCGGTTTCTATTACTGAAAATAAGTTTAGGTTAGTATAGACTTGTTTTTACCATAGTGATGATATTAAGAACTTTTCAGTTCATGCGAGTCTAAGGAGTCTAAGTACCTTTTGGATTTAATACCCTGCCTACTCCATGTAGAATGCTCACTGATTCATCTTTTCCTAAAGACATGAATTTACTGGATGATGACTTTTTCTTTCTGGTAGTTTTACTTTTTGTTTCTTTGCCATGTACTATACTTGTGTCCATGTTTTGCTTTGATCCCCCTAGAATGAAAGAAAAATTCGTAATGAAATACCAAAATACTAAATATAAATAAAACAAGATTTCCCGCCGCATTCGACTTTTCGTATATTTTAAACTTCAAAACAAAGCCCTTTACTCAAGATTCTTTGAGAAATAAAAAGAAAAAATAATTTGAAATATTGTAGTTTAAAACTAAGATAGGTACAAATAATAATATTTGGAAATTTTGGCATAAAGAAAATAATTTATTACCTTTTAAGCATGCAAAATGCAAGTTCAACACAGCTGACCTCACATCCCCAGCTGACGAATTAACAACACATTCTATTACATCTGCAGTTGGGCAGTTATACACTGCTGTGTGCTTCTTACTAATTATATTAGAAACTCTTTTTAAAGCTGCCTTTAAATTTGTTGGGGCTACACTGTTAAAACTGAAAAGTCACACACATCTGTAGAGTAGGTAAAAGGTTACACAGCTTTCAGACATGGAGGTATGGGTACTGTATAAAAGAGGATGAACAGAAAAGGTTGAACATTTTTTCACATCTAGGCACTTTAAACACTTGCACAATAGTATTGAAATATGTGATACAATAAACTAGCGATGACACTTACCTAATATGATGTATGTTGAACTGCTCTTTCAAACTTGGTGTAAAGATATTAGAAGCTGAATTTTTGTTATCTGTATGAGATTCTGAGCATATGAAAACTATTGGTGACTTAGCTCTTTGCTGATATTGTCTGAAATGAAACAATTTTATCAAATACTAATATTATAAAGAGGTAAAATTAGTAAGTTTATATATAGGGGGTACTCTTTGGAACCATTGGTCGGATTCCAAAAATTCTTTCACTTATTGATAGCTACAATGTTTCTGAGTGCTAAAGGCTGTAAAACATCATGCTACAATCAAATGGAGCCGAACAGCAAGTGAAACCGCGCGGGAGAAGCTAGTATCAAATATAATGGTTTGTTTTTATATGTATAAAAAGGATGTACTAAAAAGGTAATAAATAAGTTAAACTTACAATAAAACTTCTGTGAATTCCGAAGGTGTTCTCAGAAAAGTGTTTGGAAAATCTTCAACCAACACCAGCTTTCTACTATTACCATCCAACAAGGATGTGTAATTAGCTGCATTCAGCAAGAAGTCTAGAAATCTGACGGACTGTCTTTGTTTAAATTCATATTCACCTAAAAATTAATCACATAAGAATAAATATCAATAAGTATATTTTTACTAATCAGATAATCATTTGATATGAAAAGTCAAATATTTTTACCATTTTCACTTGGAATATCGATATCTACTGGAGTTATCCATTCAGTAATTCTAACACCATACTTTTTGGCTAAAACCTGCAATGTTATAGTTTTTCCACAGCCAACAGGCCCAGTCATGAGTAATATGTCACTATTATTGTTACTGCTCACTGTCTTTACCCAATCTTCTACTTCTTGCACTTTCTTATTGTGAACAGCCAAATCCTCAACATTCACTGGTTCAAATGTCTTCATCCAATGTTTGTGATCCTTTATAACAAATTCTTTTTCACCAGAATTAGTGTCTGAAATCTTAACAAACAAACCATAAAGGTTGATATCTGGACTTCATGTTACATAGAGGAAGATTATGTAAGTCAAAGACAAATTCACTTTCTCTGAAGAAATAAAACATGAAAATTGTGTTGTGTTAGATCACCATAGATGTGGCCCATTAGGGTTTATGTTTAACCAGGTGCCAGCACAATTATGTACAGGAGCCCCTGTCTGGAGCAGAAAGAAGGAGTTTTGGGTCAGTAAGAGGTGAAAATTCGCTCTCATCCCAGCCAGGGTGGGAGAAGTCATTTAATGGTTTCCAACAAAAAAACCTTTTCAATGTTTTTCTTTCGGCGTGGAAACATATTAATTGTGATATTCAAAAGTTCTATATTAGGCACTAATAAGTAAAAGGAAACAAAGGCTAACATTTTTATAAAAGAACTCACCTCATTTTCCACTTGTGCAATATTTTCATGTTTTTTATGTGTTTGCGTATTAGTTTTAATTTTTTTCAGCGGCTTTTCTCCTTCGTCGAAGTCGAACATCGGTTTAAACCATTTTTTCTCCTGAAATAAAGTTATTGTAAGAAAAAACGCGTAAAAGTTCTTAATAGTAACATTGTTTTCTGTGTGAATTACTTACTTTCTTTGCATAGTTCGTCATTTTAAAAAGATACTGGAAGAATAAATGAAAATATTAAATACAAAATACGTTTTTCCATTCAAATACTCAACAAAACAGTTTAGAACACAACACGACTGTCAATCTCAGCTGTTTGATTTTTTAATTTTGAAATGTCAACTCTATCTGGACTTCGTGTCTCTGTGGTACGAAGCATTATTTTGAGGTCTATATTCAGAGGTAGAGAGAGGTAGTAAGCGTTTTTCGGGAGAGTTTTAGTTTTATTGTGGTTGTGGAAGTCTTCGAAGTCTTCAGTGGCTGATCTAATAACTAATTTATTCTATTTAATTTATTACTAAATAATAATAGTAACTACCACTAGTAAAGTCTGTATAGTCTATAGCAGCGTACTCTACTCATTGAGATAGTATATTTCCTATGTCAATGACTACTGTAAAATTGAACGTTAATGAAATTACGTTGTCTGTTTTTGAGGTTTGTTTCAGATCTAAACTAAGCTTACCAAAGTAAATGCTTTGCAATAATTTTCCCTCCGTAATCCTTGCAATTTATGTTTTTTTCTGATAGTATTAGTTTATAAATACTGAAATTTAAAATACAGAGTCAACTAAAAGGGGACTAGAATTAAATGCATGTCTTATTTTTCTCCCAAAGCATATGTCAAATGCCACGCAACTTCGTGAATGCACCGTAAATTACGTAAAATTGGCACCTTGTTTTAGAGAATTTTCAATCGTATTAGTTTTAAGTGAAATTGCGTATTTATCTGTACACGAACTATAGTTAATTAATGCGTTAAACTTGTAAGTAGTCGCTCATAACGAATCTCATGAAAATCATATTGGTGATGTTATGTTGACAATAACGTGTGGTTTGTGTTCTTGTATTTTCTAGGCATAATGCAGGCTATTAAAACTTTGGGAGCTGCGGCTCCTACTACGATGTTGTCCGTAGTAAAGAAGGGTGCATTTGCACCCATTGTAGAAAAAATAAGGCAAGTCCATTTGCCTGCTCCGAAGCCAAACGAAATGAGACCTTACTCACCGTTTCAAGATGCTACTAACATGGCTGAGATGGCGGTAGCCAGGCTTGACGACTTATTGAACTGGGGAAGAAAAGGTTCAATGTGGCCCATGACCTTTGGTTTGGCTTGTTGTGCCGTGGAGATGATGCACATCGCCGCACCGCGATACGACATGGACAGGTATAAAACGATACCAAACAACAAAAAATTTTTTAGTATTGTATCAAATCCGTTCATTTTATTATTTAAATTTTAATGATTACAATTCAATGTACAAAGAGATGGCCTCATTAGAAGGGCGTCAGAAAACAGTGTATTAAAACAAATCCTACAGAGTCTACCAATAAAATATCCAACCTATTGCGTTTTGAAAAGAAATATATTAGAATAACAAATGTTTTCAGAGACTAAATGATAGTCATACTTCAATAATTCATTTCTTGTAAAGAATCAGCTTGGATTACTCATACTATGAATAAAAATTTCAATGCTGTCCTATGGGCTATACATAAAGGCACCTGCTTTTCTCATGCATTAGGAAGTAGACTCAAAACCTACAAGAAGTACTAATGTGACTTTTGGTTGGGTAGTTAGTTGTATGTACTTACTAAAATTATGTAGAAACTACTGACCAACTTGTTGCCCGTGTTGGGCACTTCTAGCCTGATAAAGTAATAATTGACTATTTTCAAGGTATGGTGTGGTGTTCCGTGCATCTCCCCGTCAATCAGATGTCATGATTGTAGCTGGTACTTTGACTAACAAGATGGCACCTGCATTGAGAAAAGTCTATGATCAGATGCCTGACCCGAGATGGGTTATATCCATGGGCAGCTGTGCAAATGGTGGTGGTTACTACCATTACTCTTACTCAGTTGTAAGGTGAGGAACTTCTTTTATTTTGAAAGTTGATAAATGCCAAATAGCATCCCTATAGGTCAACCTAACTTTTAACCTGTTTTGCTTATGCTGTTATTATGATAAATAGTGACCCACAAACCTTTAGACTGGTCTTGTCCCTCAATTATTTACCAACTTAATGATACATTAAACAACTTGAAGATATTCTTTATCCTGGATTTATATCCATCATGAACTATCTTGATGAAATAACTATAACTTGATGAACTATTTTACCCACTTTACTGTATTGTATATCTTGCTAGGCCTATAACTTGGAGAATCAAAGGTGTGATGCTATGAATGTTTTCTAATCCTGCTGTTTGACTATAGTATGTTTGAATATATTATAATAATCCCAACTAATTCATGTCTCCTAAAGGGTTTGATCTGCCTAAATCTGCTATTACTCTGAGATTATAAGTTAGTTACTAATTTTAATTTACTGATATTGCTTTGGAAAGTGGGTTAAGTTCTAGGTCTGTTACTGGAATCTGTCTCTTGTTGAAAACAATACTAATATTTTAATAAGCCAGTTTCTTGTAAAAAAATTGTATAATGCCACTGTTGGTAGGGAAAACTTGTAAACAATGTGAATTTCTATTAAGCAACTTTTTAAATAATGGTGAGAACTATCTTAACAAGCTTTATTTTATTTGCAGGGGTTGTGATCGTATAGTACCCGTCGATATTTATGTACCTGGATGCCCACCTACAGCTGAGGCTTTGCTCTATGGAGTTCTTCAATTACAGAAGAAAGTGAAGAGAATGAAGACCGTTCAAATATGGTACAGAAAATAAATGACAAACTTCAATCAATAAAATAGATGATTTTATATTTATGTAAATTTTACTCTCAGTTGCAGTAATAAATGCTATACCTAGTGCAAGCATACTTACTTCTTATTGTTTGATTTGCCTCTAACTAGCCAATTTAGTTGGTTCACATGTACACAAAATATATAAAATTCCCAAATGCAAAGAAGTCAGCTTCTGATTTGGTCAACTAAAATATTTTCATACAATAACAGAACGAAAAGCTGTAATCTTTATATTATAATAGGAATTTTCATACTAAGAAAATCGTCATGGATGCTTCTTATTATCTAGGGAAGATGAAGGGGACTGAACTGCCTTTGCGTAAGCGATATGCGATTTTCAGGTTCCGACTTCTGGTTCGACATTCCCCTGCTAGGCTACAACTATATCATGTATCCTGAAGAATTATTGATTTAAGAAGCATTTTAAAAGTTTTTATGGAAGGATTCCATTTTACGCAAAAAATTAACCATTTTAACGAGGCTGTGTAAGGGATCGATTATAATGGTTCTATAAATTCGAACCATTTTTTTACCCACGTAAAGACTGGGACAGTGGTAAAAAATATAGGCCAATAAGTATTAAATCCAGACAATTCATAGCCAAGTAAGCGTAGCATAAAGCTTTGAGATAGGTACAAGCCAACATTGTTTTAATTCAGCTCTATATAAATATATTATTATATTTCTATAGCTGATATGAATTGAAAAGCCGTCCCAGATGCATAAGAATGGAAATGAATGTCATGAAGATAAATTGGTTTCAGTTTGTTGAAAATAACCGACATTATTATTTTACTCATGTAACTGTTTGACGAGCTGTTTCGTCTTATTTCAAGCTATATCGAGGTCTCATAAACAACATTATGCAACAAACGACACAACGAGTGTCGTGGAGCCATCAGTTGATGATTGAAGCTCGCCGTTTATCTGTGAGAATTTAAAAAGGGGAAAGGTTCACAAAAAATCATGTTGGTATAAAAATCAAAAGTTTTAATGGTATTTTCTGAATCGCACCAAGCTTTCATTTACTTTTAGTATACAGAATGATTTTGAATAAACTATAATAATTCTGAGTCATTCTTGAGATTTTAAGAACACAAACCGTCAAATGTATCTGTAGTTACAGATCCTAAATTCAATTTTGTCTGACTCAATGCCTTTTCAATAATGATTTAATGGCACATAAGAGTTTGCTAGTACATGTCATAATAATAAGGTCGCTAAACAAATAATTTTAGATTACTTCACTTGCTCACAAATACTAAAACCGAGAACACCATGATTTCTGATAAATACAAATCCGCCCATTATTGTATAACTGTTACATCTAGATACCTGATAATAGACACTACTTTGAAGTCAGACAAAATGTATTTCACAATACAATAATATCACATATTTTAAATGCATTTAAACGAAATAACTGCTATTCCTGAAATTGTGTTCACTAATAGGAGTATAAATAAATAAATAAAACTCCACTGGTACAATTGAAAAACCATTGAGATTTTTAACGGAAGTGTAAATTAAACTCCCGATGCAATAATAATTTATGGGATTTTCTTTTGTATGACGTTAAATAAACCAATTCTATACTTTAACGCTAATTTACAAACTAATATTTACAGTTTATTTATAAGTATATATAAATATGTATAATTATATCGATAGCGATTTCGATAATCCTATCCTTCACAATAATCAGCAATTTTCATGTATAATTAACTAATAATGGTCACAATAACAACTCGATAGATATTTCCATGTAAATAAACAAGCAGTAGTGTACAAGGCCGGCGGCGACGAGCGGCCAGTGTCCTCGTCCAATATTGCACACAGAGAGAAAGCGAGCTCGTCGCACCTCCAGTCTCACTCCGCCTCGCCGCGCGGCTAGCGTTCACTCGACTACCTTACTGTCCCAACAAACGAGCCGGCGAGACGGCCGGCCGACGAAACCGACACCGTCGTTCAGTAAGCGACGTTACAATAAATAATTCTCTAAACCGATAATGCGAAACGATATACATTAAATTAGTCGTACTCTCACTTGCGACGTCGTTTACGCTACTCTATGTACACACTAGGCGACACGACGGTTGCGCCTAATCGCTATCATCGTGGCTCTTCTTTCTTGAGCAGGTCTAGTGGCGCCAGCGGTGCTAGCGGCGGGGCTAGCGGCGCCAGCGGGGCCAGCGCGCTGTGCGAGCCCAGCGGCGCCAGCGGGGCGTGCGGGGGCAGGCCGCGGTGCAACAGGGGGCTCGACTTCATCTGCTGGTGGTGCGCGTACGCGCTCAGCATCTTGGCTCGGTCCTCTTCCGCGCGTATGGCTGCCTCCACTAGCGGCGCAAACCGCATGTGTTGAAGCGGATCGAACGAACGGTAGGGATCCCACGGTGGTGGCGGTGGATACGCGGCCAGCGACGGCGGCGGCGGATGGCGCGGTGGTTCCTTGCGCTCGTCCTTGACCTCAGGTGCACCGTTGCGGAGCGGCGAGCGTGCCCGGACCCGGTCGAGCTCGCGGTCACGCTGGTCGCGTTGCTCGCGCGCCTTGCGGCGCTCGCGTTCGTCCCTCTCGCGGCGCTCCCGCTCGTCCCGCTCGCGGCGCGCGCGCTCGCGCTCGTCGTGTTCACGGCGCGCGTCGGGCGCGGGCGGGGCGGGCGGGCGCACGGCGCGCCAGGCGTCGTGCAGCGCGCCGAGCGGGGGCGCGTGGTGCACGCCGTGCAAGGAGGAGGACAGCGCCAGCTCGCGGCCGTACGCCGTGAGGCCGAAGGGCGGCGCGCCGGGGTAGCCGCCGGGCCCGTACCGCCCGAAGGGTGACACGCCTGAAACGCGCACAGCTCGGTGAGACGGGGCGGGCGCGGGCGCGGGCAGGCCGGCCTCGTAGCGGCGGAGCGTACCTAGGTGCGGGTGGTGCGCCAGGTAGGGCGACGGCGGCAGCTCGTAGGGCGAGCGGTACGTGGGCGGGGGAGGCGCGGGGGTGGGGAAGGCTCGCAGCTTGTCCTTGTCCGCCGCGCCCGGCACGGCGGCGCCGCCACCAGTCTTCTCCTTCTGTTGGTGGTTATAAATCTCCCAAGCTATCCTAACGTGCATCGCATTCCATTTTCCAGTTTTCTGCAGAACCAAAAAATACATTAAAAATTGTAATCAACAAGGTTCAAAATATTCTGTAGTTAAAAAAGGGCATGCATAAAGTATGTAATGTGTTGCTAAGAAGGAAACCTACCGCGACAGCGGGGCGTGGTGGTGGTTTAGAGGTGGAGTCGCTTGCGGCTGACACTACGGGCTGTTAACATTATGCGTTGCAGGGTTAATGATTTGAGCAAATTAAAACATAAAATAAGCATAAGCAAGTATTTCAGAGAAATTTATCAGTAAGAGAAATGATTTAATGATGTGAGAAAGACACAGAAAGATTGATATATTTAAAATTAGGTTAAGATTATGACTTATCTATAAACTACCAACAAGTACCAACGTGGTTGATTAAAAAAAAGATCTCGAAAACAGAAACATTAATTGAAAATTATGAAAAATATCATGCATTATGTTTATTAACTATTTAATTAAGTTTACAATTTATTTCAAGAACTTGCTTAAGACATTTAAAGTTCATCAAAAAGATGTGAATGAATCTTGTAAAGGAAAATCACCTTAGGAGCATATGTGGTGAGTGGGGCAGGAGGCACGTAGGGTCCAGTGGGGTGCAGTAAACTCGATGAGTACGGGTAGCCAAGTCCAATACCACTCCGATATAGTGAAGACATTTTGCTCACATCTTTGAACTGAAAATTTGCAAATAACACTTTAGTTAGCATCCAAGACCGTTACAACATATTCCTATATATTCCTAGACAAGTAGTATAAGAGTGAGCTATTTCGGGTTTTTATTGGTGATTAAGCACTATTAACATGTGTTGTGTATATTGGAAATAAACCTAAATACAATGTGTGGAAACTATTGCATGATGTGATTGATTCTACTTGGAATGAGATCACAATTTGTTCAAAAAGAAGCAGATTCTTGCTATTTTTTTTAAACTAATCTACATTTTGTAGCAATCACCTAGCTTCACGGATAAATTTATAATTTCGACGTTTCATTTCACTGTCTGTGTATAAAGATAAGAGTAATAAAATATGCTCCTAGCTTTTGTTAGCGACTTTTCTAGCGTAGAATAGCGACTTCCTGCAGATTTTTGTCTTAAAAACTATCCTATGTCCTTTCTCGAGTTCCAAACTATATCTGTACTAAATCTCACACAAATCGGTTCAGTAGTTTAAGCTTGAAGAAAAGACAGACCGATAGAGTTACTTTCGCGTTTATAATATAATAATTTGGATTATAACTGCCTTATGGCTGATTTTTCAATGGTTAGATAAAAGTTATCTGGGGAATAATTATGATGCGTTGCATCAGTATGTTTGTATAAGATATAGTGACAGCAACAATTTAATTCCTGGGATAACATTTATCTGACTATTGAAAAATCAGCCTTTAAATGTGTAAATAAGTTACAGGAATATAGAAATACGTACCAGAGGCGCGTGTGGCACGAGTAGTTGATGTGGATGCGCGTGCGGGGCGTGGGGAGCGTGGGGCGCATGGGGCGGATGGGGCGCGTGGGGCGCGTGAGGGGCGTGGGGGGCGTGGGGCGCGTGGGGCGCGTGGGGCGCGGGGTGCTGGTGCACGTGCGTGTGCTGGTGCTGGTGCTGGTGGTGGTGCATCTCCGTGCGCACGCCGGCGCCCGCCACGCCGCCCGACACCGCGCCCGCCGCCGCCAGGAACCGGCTGTCCAGCTCGCGCCGCAGCAGGTCCGCGCCCGGGCCTGAAACACGACAACTCTACATGTCCAATTGTCCAACGAAAGCTTTTTACGGTTGCGACCGATGAATTCGTGTACTTTTACATAATATTTTTAGCCGATTACGTTGTTTTTCGCCATATGATTGATTGATTGGTTACCCTCTACCTCTCCCCATACCTTCCCAATGCTTAAATATCCGAAACCCTTATCCCCGAAATGCTGTCGACGCACTTGCAACTCTTTTATTGTTGCGGGTGTCCATTGGCG